ATAGGCATGCATAATAATAGTATTAGCATGATGATAGCAAGGGTTAAATGCTCTAAAATAAGAGATGACAGATACTAAAGTAAATGTCAAGGGTATTGTAATGTGTTGTAACATAAATATACCTAAAAAGGATACAGGCTCAACAATAAAGAGCTATTCTTTACGCATGATTCAAAAACCATATATTGAAATACCGTTCTTGATCCATCAGATCAACAACTAAATGACCCAACAAAAATATATAAAGTAATGGAATCACTGGCAACTACTAAACTGCTGCCAGATAAGAGATATAAACCAAATAATATAAATAGAGACGTAGAATATACATTTTATTGCACATTATCCTAATTTCGAATAAAGAAGGATTTTAACAGTATTCTACCTGCTTTTTTACCCCCTTTTTTACTGCACTCAGTATTTAGATTGCTGAGATGCACTTCAATTATCATAGCTTGTCCATGTTGTTGCACAACACAGACATATCTACCCATCAAGAATACCTTAATCTTTATAGACAGTTGTAGCCCTGCTGCTATAGTTGCACAACATCCCAGATAAAGGGTTCCATACTTCAATAACAAACATCACACTTTAAACCATCAAGGTTACATTAAATCATGCTATGACGATACCTCACCCAAGCCCATCAAGGTTACTCAAATCGACCCTTACGGCCAGTGCTCCTGCATTGATTACCACTTTAAATCAAACATCAACAACATTTGCCAGATATCGCAATAGCAGCACTTATTGCTCTCTATCATCACTAATCCTACAAGCTAGCTGCAAATGTATAAATACTCTTCTTTTTTTTACTCAATTCCAGGGTCTTCCGTTCATTTTACACACAAATAATAAACTACAGTTGATTTCTATTGTATTTTTATTATTATTCCTTTATTTTTTTGGGAAATCCCTTAAACCTGATTTCACTGCAAATACGGTGCCCAAGTCTATGGGATAAACCCCGGGCGTGTGTTGACTGATGTTGGTTAATATACAGCAGAAAACTTATATTATGCGCTACTATACTATAGCGAAAAATAGCGTTTGGGCGATTGGTGTTTAGAATAACAAAATATAGACAGAGTAAATACAATTAGAACTGAATATATTTATTATGTTATTCCAAGATTGAATAGGGATCAAAACTACTAGTGTAGATATCAAAGGTATTTATAGTTATTTGACAGTGCCGCAGCAATAGGACCTTGATCTTGAATGCGGGATAATTGTATAAGCCTTGAACCAGTAACGAGGATGTGCTGCATCAGAACTCATGAACCACCAGTCAAGGATAAACAACAAAGATGATCCAGGATAGAATGTTCTTCCTAATAGCTTTGACGGAAGAACATTTGTCGGAATTGAAACCCACTTCCAGGGACGAAAGGCCATAGGCTACCACTCTCTAGGAACCAGGATATAGATTAGCCATTTGATGGCACCACTCATGTTCCTTCGTGCTGCTTGAATAAAGACCTCTCACTTCTACTATGCATCTCAGCTCATTCTCAGATCCTCTTATGTAATAAACGACGCTTAATACATTTGCCTCTCAGAGATGATCTATATCCTCAACATTCACAAGGGAAAATTCTTGAAAATCAAACGATCGCGTTTTTCGCCCCAAAAATGAAGACTTTTCTTATGATACGTATAAGATCAAATTGATCGTAAGGACGGAATACAATACTGGAAGCCCTTTCTATAGCACTTGTATATGCTAAATTTTGACATAATCACAGGAAACCTGTTATCGTATTTTTGCAAATTGCTCATTATTTTCGGTCTGAAAGTAGAATATAATCAGTACCATTTGATGCGGCTTCTTTAATCCTCTAAAGTTATATTAGAAAGCTGGGCGCGATAACTGGAGTTTTCATAGTCAAACTTGACAAAAGCGTTTAAAAGATGTCAGATGAAGTCAAGTTTGAGCACAAAAATACCCACTGCACAAATTCAAATTAAATTGCAGCAGTTACGGCTACCACTGCAGAAGACTGAGACTAAATCTACTGGCCGTGACGTCGGATAGGACGCCGCCTCATTTTTTCCCTTTTTGCAAAACACGTTTAGCAGCATCAAACCATGGTCGTTTTGGAAACCGTTCGATTGATAGTAACACTCTAGCTTCCGATAGCTTTGTCTTGTACTGTTGAAATAACTTGACACTGCTTCTTTAAAGTGGAATATGCTAGGTACCATTCAATAAAGAGCATTGGAAGGCGTAGAATTAACACTAATTGAATTTTTTTATTAGGTTTGATGATTCTTTTTGACTGTTTGATGCGGGTGTTACTACCATTACTTCTCTGCTGCTACCTCCTCTGCTGTCTGCTTCTTTGGTTCATCATGTCTGGTGGTTGCTTCTTTAGTCTTTATCTGGTCTCTGGTGTTGTTCATTCTTCGGTTTTCTATGGTGCTGGTGTTGCTGCTGCTAATCTGTTCTTTCCCGGTTTACTGTATTTGTTGTATGCTTGTTCTCTGGTCCACCTCTGGTGACTACCTATACTCTTCTGGTATTTCTCTGGTAGTGGTAAATGGTAAGTAACATTTTTGGTCTGTGTCTATTCTCTGCTGATGGCGTTCATTTTTTAGTTTTTCTATGGTGCTGGTATTGCTGCTGCTGCTGCTGCTGTTGCTAATCTGGTCTTTTCTGGTCTACTGTATTTGCTGCATGCTCGCTCCCTGGCTCATATCCGGTGATTACTTAATATCTGGTCTATCTGTGGTTATGATAAGTGGTGGTATCTTCTTTCTTCTGGTCGCAATGACATAAAACTTCTTTGAACGCTTATATCATTGCTTCCTTTCTCGTGATAATGCATTCATGATGTTTGCCTTGTTGCGCTTTTTCTTTTGTTGGTGGTGTTTCCTCTGTAGCTTCTTTACATGAAACAACATTAGTCATTATGTTGTATCGCAATCGTATAATACCACTGTTGCTTTTGCAGCTGTGCGCATCTGTGTCATGTTGCTTTACATCCGACTATTACTACCATGCGCGTTGCTCATGCATGCATTTTTCTTGCAACAGCAACGAGCTTTTTTAAACATCTTTGATGTTATGTTTGTTATGCTTTTCTTTGACTCGCTTCGCGTGAGTGCCTCTTTTTTTGCCTACGTACTACTATACTCCCATAATAGTATGTTCTTTTCTTCTTTTGTTATGTTTATGTTTCTTTGAAGCATACCTTTTTTACGTTGTGTGGATGTGCCTATCCCTGAAGCTCAACAAGACTTTATCCGAGGCTAGGAGGTAGATAGGCTGCCTCCACTTGGTTGTCACTACTTACTTTAGTGATGATTGAGAGTCTCAATGCCAGAATCTAAAGCTAGGTGGTGTAAGTAAGGCATGCTCTAGCACCTGAGGGAAATTTGATGATAGTAACAGCTATATTGCTATATAGCGGAGCTTAAAATTTTGCCTCACATCAAAACCGGGGGAAACCCTCGCAATTTTTTTTTAGGTCAGCGGAGTTTTCAGGCGATTTGATTGGCTCAGGGGTTGAAGAACCGAAGGGTTATAGCTAGTGGACTTCCTATTGATTGCTCAATAAATATGATTTTGTGTTTGGTAATAAAAGAATGACCAAATTAATACAGTTCAAAGCCTTCTTCATCTAAACGTAAGATAAGATGTATGTAATCTTTTAAAGCTGTTAGGCAGAAAGTTTATATAGATACTACAGTACTTTAGCAAAAAAGTGATGTTTTTTTTTGCTTAGAATAACGAAAAATAGGCAAGAGAAATACAATCAGAACTGAATATGTTTATTATATTATTGTTATTCCAAGACTGAATGAGGACTAAAACTAGCATAAATGCCTAAAGTGTTTATAATCATTCGACAGCGCCACAGCAATACGAACTTAATCTTGAATATAGGATAATTGTATAAGCCTTGAGCCAGTTAACGAAGATGTGCGCCGCTTCGTGAACGCTCATGGATCACCCCTCAGGAGCGAGCAACAATGAGAATCCAGAATAGAATGTTTTCATAGTAGATTTGACGGAAGAACATTTGTCAGAACTGAAACTCGCTTTCAAGGATGAAAGGTCATAATAGGCTACCAAACTTCAAGAACCAATATATAGATTTGCCATTTGATGGCACCACTCATGTTCCTTTGCACTGTCTGAATAAAGAGTTCTCAATATACCGCGCATAGCTACTTCTGCTCAATCCTTCTCATGTACAATACAACGTATAATACATTTATCTCTGAGATCTGATAAAATATCCTTAACAGCATTGATTATTTGTTTAAATCAAACATCAAGAACGTTTGCCAGATATCGCAATAGCAGCACATATTGCTCTATCACTACTAACACTACAAGATCGTTATAAATGTATATAGATACTCTTCTAAAGTGGCTTGTCCAAACAATAGTCGTGTGATAAATATCAACAGTAATACCATTTGATGCGCATTTTAATTCTGTACAAACTTACTATGAACTCAAAACAGTAATTACTATTGAAAAAAGTAAGTTTGAGAGATGAAAACGTGCAAATATGGATCATATTGGCTTGGCACCAATATAAGCTCGCAAGTCTGAACTGAGCCTATGACAGATCGATAATGATACATTAGCGAAATGTATGGGTTGAGGTTGATCTCATGGCATGCCATGACCTCCTTAAAACGCATCTTTTAAAGTTTAAACAGTGAATGAAGATGTTGCTCTGATGGACATGCTATTTACTTAAAATAATAATATCAAAAGACTACTGGATTTATTTTCAGTAATCAATCTGTATGTTGTTAGGGACATGCTTGAATTGCCCCTTGGATAAAGCCAACTCGGCAGCATTAGTAGGTTGAGAAGTTGCATTGTTAGCATCGACAGTAAACTGTCCCATCCAACGAAAAAGACGGTAACATTGACTACCTTCTTGTCGAGAATTCTAGAGACAAAAAGAAAAATTTAATTGAAAAAATATTTTTAAATCATCTTTAATTTACACTGTCAACGGAAGCGTATTATGTCCAACAAGGAATTCAAAGTTCAAATTAGAGAGAGAAGCAATCCTTCTGAAGACTACAAACGACCCGAGCTACGTGAGTATCTTGCTCAAATGTTTGGCCCAGCACATGTTCTGACTTGATGATTTGTTAGTGCAAAAAGCTATTGAGGAAATCGAAGCAGAAGTTGCTGCCAAGAGGGAAGCTGAAGGCAGCGATTCTGAAGACGACAGCTCTTCCTACGACTCTGACGAAGAAGAGGACGACGATGCCAACTTATTAACGCCTGCTGTCGACTCTCAAATCTTCAAAACCATTGCTGCCATCCAAGCCAAAGATCCCCGTGTATACGAAAACACCAACGACTTTTTCAAGGATGTAGATACCACCAAACCTAGCAAGAAGGACAATAAAACTAAGGAGCCTGTCGTCAAGCTCAAAGACTACGAACGTGACATTTTGTTGGAACATGGCGGTTTTGTGAATGAAAGAGACGAATCTGTCAGAACCAGAACTCACCGTCAGGAGCAAGAGGATTTGCGTAATGCTTTCAAAAACGCTGCTGATTCTGATGATGAGGAGGAGGACGAAGATGGCTTCTTGACAAAGAAAGACAAGACAAGTGAGGAGAAGGAAGCAGAGGAGAGCGACTATCGCAAATTCTTGCTGGAAAACATGAAGGACGACGCACCATCGAAAAAGGCATTTGAAGAATGGAGCAACTACAAACAAAACCCCAATGTCAATGCCGAAGAGGCCTTTTTGATGGACTATGTCTTGAATCGTGGTTGGGTGGACAGCAAGGGCGAAACGACAACACAGACGATGGAAGACGCTGACGAGGAGAAAGACGAGGAATACCTTGATAATGTAGATCGATTTGAGAGTAAATACAATTTCCGTTTCGAGGAAGAAGGCGCTTCTTCTATCAAGACCTACTCTCGTGAGGTTGAAGGCACTGTTCGTAGAAAGGAAAGCAAGAGAGCCAAGAGAAGAGCTAGAGAGAAGGCACACAAGCAAGCACTCAAGGAGCAAAAGATGGAAGAATTGAAGCAGCAAAAGAACCAAAAGATGAAGGAGATCCATGACAAACTCAAGGAGATTCGTGCTATCACTGGCAACAAGGCCGTTGGTTTGGAAAATATCGATCTAGAAGGCGATTTCGATCCCTCCGTTTTTGATGCTCAAATGGGCAATGTGTTTGACGATGACTATTATCAGGGCGAAGAGGGCGATGCCAACGAGAAGCCTGTTTGGGATGATGATATTGAGACGGGTCTGCCTGATGATGACATTATGGATGCTGATTATCTTCCTGGTGGAGACAAGTATCAAGGACCGTCTGCTACCAAGCCAGCTATTGCACCTGAAGAAGCCGAGTCAAAGAAGAAGAAGTTCAAGGACCTTATGGACGAATACTATGCACTCAATTATGAGGATGTCATTGGCGGCGATTTGTTTACTCGATTCAAGTATGCCAAGACCGCGCCTCAAGACTATGGTTTAACAGCAGAGGAAATCCTATTAGCAGACGATGCAGAGTTGAACAAATACATTGGTTTGAAGTCATTAGCACCTTACCGTCCTGAAAGAAAGAAGGCAAGAGACGAAAGTGTGTTCCTAAAAAACCAAAAGAAGAAGAAGAAGCAGTTGGCCAAACACGTTGCAGCTGTCGCAAAGCAGCTTGAAAAGGAACAGAAAAAGCTCGCCAAGAAAGAGGCCAAATTACATAAAAGCAGCAGCAAAAAGCATAAAAGAGCAAGAGAGGAGAACTCAGACGCATCTCATACAAAGCACAAAAAGGCAAAAAACGAGAGCTCGGAAGAATCTCGCAAGAAGCATAAGAAATCAAAGCATTAACTTATATATAGATCCCCCGTTCATATCATGAATAAAAAAAAAAAAAGAGTATTTGTTTAATTATCAAAATGAAACGCAAAACTCATGCATTGCATTCACCATATTCAATCATATTTTGGTGCAGATTCGAGCCTTCTGCATCAAGCACCAGGACTTAAACACAGGGGTATATTTGTTCATAAATGCTTTGGATCAGAGAATTCCTTGGTTTTTTTTTTTTTTTTTTTTTTTTTTTTTTTTTTTACGAATTTCAAATGCGGCTGCTCATCACGATGATGATACTGGGGCCACTGAACACCAACATGTCTCGGTATCTCCTCCGTTGTCAAAGTTTGTGTGTGCATACACAACCAATCACATGCCACCTTTCAAAGCATCCCAATGCTTTCTGTGGTAATTCACACGTTGAAAAGGGAAAAATTTTTGATGCTCCTTCTTAACCTTTTGTTTCCCTTTTCCTTTCCTATTTGCCCACTGTGATTAATATGGCATCGTCCATCTCAGACTATAAACATACCCAAAGCAGCAAAAGAGAGCTGTCGCCTTCAAGTTCTTCCATCACCTCGATTACAAAAAAGACCCGTTTAGATACCCTATTTGACACATCCACGCAAGAAGAACAGGTGTCTGACTTGGTGATTGGCGACGACTATCAGCCATCCATAGGTGCACAAACTCCCACATTCGAGAACAGAATGGGATCCTTCGTAGAGCCCGGCAGTGGTGGTTATGATCGCACACCCACAATAGATGTTCAAGCACACACGGCAACGACCAGTATGGCGCATGCCTTGCTCGGCATTCAAGGTGATGTACTCGACGACATTGATGAAGACGATGAAGACGACGACGACGATGAATACTTTAACGATGCAATTGACTTGGACGAAAAGCCCTATCGAAGGTCGCTTTACAGCGAGCTAGTGACAAGCAGCAATCTGCCCGATGACGACGATCGACGAAAGAGCAATCTGCTATCGTCAACACTATTTGAAAACGAAGACGAAGACGAGGAGGGCACAACAGACTTTGAAAACAAGACAACGCTGCCATTAAGCAGATCCTTTGCACAGCGACAGCACCAGACCAGCTTTGATGAGGAGGTCGACAGACTCTTTTCAAGCCATAATCCTGCAGACGAGCCTGAATTCGTATTATCCTCAGCAGCCAAATTGAGCATTTTGCAGCAGCAGCATCAGCACGGCCCATTATGGCACACAGACAAACCACATTTCTTGACGGATGAATACTTCCAGCACCATGGACCGCAAGATCGATCCATACCATTGGACGATAAGACCCCCCACACAGCATCTATCGCATCGTATTTCGACTCTCAATTTGAACGACTAGGTGTCATGGGCTCTGGTGAATTTGCTCGTGTTCTGAAAGCTCGCTGTACAATAACAAACCAACTCTACGCCATCAAAAAGTCAAAGAACTGTTTCAGCGGCTGGGACGATCGATGGTTGCAGTTGACTGAAGTAGACCATCTGAGAATGGTCAAGGACAGCGACCATTGCGTCAAGATGATCAACGCGTGGGAGGAGAAGGGCTACTTGTATATTCAGTTGGAATTGTGCTCTGGAGGAAGGTAAGGTGCTGAGCTAGAGTCGACGTGCAATATCTGACCTGTCATGGAGCTAGTCTTGACACATTCATCGAGTCCAAGAACAGAAGCATCGTAGAAGACCAAGTATGGAGCATATTCCACAAACTAGTGCTTGGAATCAACGATATACACGCAGCAGACATTGCACATTTAGATTTGAAACCCTCAAATATTTTAATCGACGATCAAGGCTGTTTGAAGATTGCAGACTTTGGCATTTCAGTGCGAACGCCAGTGGACGCTCGATGGGTGAAGGGCGAGGGAGACAGACGCTACATGGCTCCGGATTTACTGAGAGAGAACTTTGACAAGCCAGCAGACATCTTTAGGTAAAGGCGCGCGCCACAAATATATATGCAACAACACATTGACCTTCTTTATAGTTTGGGTTTGATTTTGTTGGAACTAGCAACAGGAATTGTGTTACCAGGCACCGGCGAATCATGGGAAATGCTTAGACTGGGTGATTTCTCCAAACAAAAAGAAGCATTGTCAAAGCTATCTCTGGAAATGAGCGAGATGATTGAATGGCTACTGACAACCGAGGCAAAAGAGAGGCCCACTGCACACGATATCATGCAACATCCCTCCTTCATCAAGGTCCAATCTACCGCTCTGGAAGAAGGCACACTCTTAAGCTACGTACAGGAGCACGCTGAAATGGCATCAAACACTCCTTCTCGCTTGTCAATAGCAGAAGCAAATGGTTATTTAAACTAGAACATGTATATAATGTGATACCTTCGGCTCTTCAAATGTCACTTGCTCTTGTAATGGATTGTCGTTTGGAAGATGTATATAAAAAGTGGCATTTCCTTTCTGCCGTTTCTCTTTTTCTTCTCTTTTCTTTTTTAATTATTGAACAAAAATAAAATGTCTACTCCCGTTGTAAATCCTGCTACAGCTGGTCGTCCTGTTCCTCCTGTTCCCAATCAATCTCCAGATGCCAAAGCTCATGCTCAGGCTGCTGCTATGAACGCTCTCGACTTTGTCAAGAACAAGTCCAATTACTACTTGACTCGTCTTGACAGAGAACTCGCCAAGCATGCATGTGCCAATGATATTGAACGTCGCACTGGCTTGCCCAAGACCTATGTCGTGTTGGGTACCTCCATCACCTTCTTCTTGATGATCTTTTTCAACCTAGGCGCTCAATTATTAACAAACGCCATTTCTTGGATCTATCCAGGTAAGTAGAGGGCTTTTATGATTTCACGCGATTTTGGGATGGGCGGCTTACTGATACGCGCACTTGATAGCATATGCTTCTTTCAAGGCGATTGAGTCTCCTAACACGGATGATGACACTCAATGGCTAACTTATTGGACCGTCATTGGTTTCGCTCAAATGGTTGAGTATTTCTCTGACATCTTGCTCTACTGGTTCCCCTTTTACTACACATTCAAGACCCTCTTTGTCCTCTGGCTCATCTTGCCTCAATTCAGAGTAAGTACAAGTATAAACTAGAACGGAAAGGTTGTGTGCTCATGAAACTCTGTTTGAAATTCGAATAGGGTGCTCAAATTGCTTATGAACGTTTCTTGCGTCCTTTTCTTTTGAATGCTCAGCCAGAAATTGACCGTCGTACCGACAAATTTACCAAGCCATTCACTAGTGGCGAAAAGACATTGTAAGGTGGTATACAAACTATTTTTTTTTCTGTAAAAAAATAAACTTCTTCTCATTCAAAACTCGGAGATGGATGGTAATAGAATTTGACATGTGAAACACTGCATGGTGTCATCGCTGTAACACCCTTCACATTTCCACATTGTACACAAAATATTTGTACATGTTGAAGGAACAAAGATATGCTCAATCAGGAGAACAGTAAAAGGATGAAGTGGTGGAAATCATAGTGTTTTCCGGGATTGCAACAGTGGCATGATGGCAAGTTAGACAGTGATTGTGTGCCATCACTGAACTCTTGTTGGGATGAAAGTTGTATCAACTGCGTCTGCTCTAAGCCTTTTTGCCAAGAATTGGAATAACGTGCAATTATATATATATATATATATATAGTTCAAGTTGCAGAAATCAAGCTCGATCTCCCATCGTTTTGCGCTAGAGACTATATCGAGCATTAGCTTATTAAAACAAAGGCTCATGGCCCAGGGATTAGAGATTCTGAGAAGAACGCTGGACAGCCTAGACATCTTGTTTCTTTAGATGCTAGACATTTGACAATAGACAACTCCGAAATCAAAATGTTCATTTTGCATGATCAGATGAAAAGAAACGGATTTCATGTTAATATTTTAATAGTTGAATGAATAAGCAGAATATAGTAGAAAGAGAGCGAGAAAAAACGACAGGGAACATACAGAATGGCATTTGGATTTAAGATCTGGGCTTTTCCTTCTTCTCCTTGTACAAAGCGAGGAGAGAGACACCAGCGACCTTGACGACCTTAAAACGGACACCAGGAATATCACCAATAGCACGACCCTTACGACCGAAACCAGCAATCAAGACTTCATCGTTCTCATCAACGTAGTTCAAACAACCATCATTGGGAACGAAAGCAGTGACCTTCTTACCGTTCTTGATGAGTTGAACACGAACACACTTACGAATAGCAGAGTTAGGTTGCTTGGCTTCAACACCAATCTTTTCGAGGACGATACCCTTGGCGTGAGAAGAACCACCGAAAGGAGAAGAGCGGAAAGCGGTACCAATAGCTCTCTTCTTGTAGGCCTTGTCGGCCCAACGTTGATCACGACGATGAATACGGAGCTTACGAGCTGCGTTCAAACCTCTAGGTTGTCCCTTACCTAATTGACATGAAATAACAATGGATCAGTTTCTTGCCAGGCCAGAAAAAAAAAAAAAAAAAAAAAAAAAAAAAGGGATCAAATGCTGGCTGGCTGAATTCAATAGCAATAAATCATATACGTTGGGCGTTGTGATCTCTACTCGTAATGCTGATCTCTCTCTCTCTCTCTCTCTCTCATCCAACAACGGACTTGGCCAGACATCTGATGTGTCCAAAGGTCGTTTCCATCCATCCATCATCCATTGTGTTGTATACACTTTTCCATTGCTATTAAATCCAACCATCCACATCTCTATTTTGTTGATACGCACCCATGATGTATTATTTTCAAAAGGAAGATTGATTTCGGCGCATGGCTGTGCTTTGCTATCTCTTTTCTCGGCCCCTAATCCACTGCCAGCAGCGAGTAAAACCTGCGTGTAGAGCGAATCAGATTTCTTTTCCCGAACCGGACTCGATGGCCAGCTATTTGATATAATGAATGCATGAATGACATTGGCAAGCAGTGAACATTGCAGAAAGTGAGATGCCTGCTTGACAAGTTTAGTACTTGCTTGTGTTTGCATTCAAAAGCTGTACCCATAAGGTCTCGCATCCAGTGTTTGAATAACATGCTTCGTTTGAGGATTTGAAATAGTAATCATCATGTATGATTTGATGATCGCATGAGCAAGCCTGATACGAACAGCGTTGTAGTTGAAAGAGCGAGCCATTTATGTGTAAAGGAAGCATGTTTTGTTATGATAGCTTGCAATCCGTTTGATATAGTATGGCCTCGGTCTTAACAACGTTTTGTTTTATTTTAGTGATAGAATAGCAATGCTGTGTAGCCAGACTCGGCCAAATTCACGATAGTGAGGGTATAGTAGCAGCACATGCGCATGAAAATACATATAAACTGCACGGATATGCCTATGAACGCTTACCCTTTCCTCGTTTTACTCGAGGCTGTGGAGTTCTGGTCTCCACACTTCCACCTTCTAATTCTGGATGTCCCTGAACCTTTTCTCTGGCTTCGAGGAAAAACATCAGATCTCGCACTTGATCACTGAGCTCTTTGATCGCCCTTTCTCTGTCCTCCATGCATTTGAGCAGCAGGCTGTTGTTTTCTAATAGAGAATTTGTCACCTAGCAAGACACGGATTACATTAAACACGATTGAATCATGTCTACAAATGGGTTTACCTCTTTCTCTTCAAGCCAAACAACTTTGGTCGTTTCACACTTTTCCTTCCAGGACTCTAATTTCTTGTCTGCTTTCTCTTTTCCTTTGCTAATTTCCACAATTTGCTTTTCTTTCTCTAGATTTCCTGCTTCCAGACGTTTGTTCTCGGCTTGTATCTGATCTGCCTCAGCCAGCAGGGATCTGGTCTTTGATCGCATATCTGATAACTGCACTGCCACTTGTTCCATTTGGCTTTCATAGTATATTTGTTGAGAATCCAGTTGTGATGTGAGCAAGTAGTTGTATTCCAGCGAGATGGCTTCTAGTTTCTCCTGTATTTGATATATGCGTTCAATAAGACCGCAGACAAGACCCTGAAGGGATGTCGATTTACCTGTGATGTATTCATATTTGAATCCTCGGTTGTGCTCGGTAACTCGACTAGCTTTCCATCCACTGCATTCTGTATCAATCTATGCACATATCCATCGCCTGCATAGTCCCATACACGTTGCGTTTCAATCTCAAGCGAGTAGAGATGATCCGTCTGACGATAATGCTCATAAGCATGTGCATTTTCGTATCTCCCACAGCCCACATTGCCGCAGATCAGGCAAACCCACAAATGTTCAGTTGCATGGCATGTTGCACATTCATTCTCGTCGTTGGATTCCCTCATGGGCAGTGTCTGACTTGTAGTTCGATCGGATTCCATCTCTATTGATCTATGAGGCTTTTGCGAATATCGACAAACCGGGCAGCTGCCGTCTCCCCACTTAGATAGACAATGGCAATGGAAGGTGTGTTGGCATAAAATCGTCAATAATCCCGTTGATTTCTCGTCCATTGGCTCCAAGCAGACAGGACATGTTGATAATGAATCTTCTTGCTCAAAATCTACTTGCTGCGTAAATGGAATTGTGGAAGGTGGTATTGTATCAGCATTGAACTCAATTGATTCGACATAGACCACTTGACATTTCTCGGGCTGGAAAAAAAATACCCTTTTTAGCATTTAAAGAAACACAAACGCCATTGGTACTGTGCACTCACCTCCATCGAACTGAACAGACGGTCATTGTACTGTTTGTAATAACTGTTGGCAGAATAAGGATCTCGAAATTTCAGCAAGACGGAATAAGTCTCTGAAGATGTATCACTAGTTTTTAGCCATTTAGAACAAATGAAATAACCAGAGTATACTTGATATTACCGAAATACTCTATAGTGACATACAAATGAGTCTATAGGTGCAACAAATTCAAGAAACTCTGGTATAGAGATATGGAACGGAATTGAGTATGTGCATAGGACTACATCTTGTATTGATTTTGTCTCTGTAACGGCATTCGTGTCGCTCAGTATCCGCAGGATTGCATATTGATGCTCTCCCTTCCTTGCTGTTAATGAGATTGAAGCGACAGGTGGTCCGTTGTGATTTGGCATGAAATGGGTGTAGTGTTTGAAACGAGAAGAGATAAACAAAAACTTACGTGTTAAAGTATAAGAGTACCACCTCACAGCAGCAGCACCCGTTGTATTCAAGGCCAGTTTCATCTCGCTCAAAAAAAAAAAAAAAAAAAAAAAGCAGAATGTGCGTGTTTGGCTCTCAAATGACCAAGTGATTTCATGTAACCTTCACGGTCATATCATATCATCATCACAGAGTACACAAATACTACATATATGCCTTAAACTCCTTAAAACAAATTCTCTTTTTTCTTCCCAATTGTCTAAAGAATTTGCTTCTTTTTGTTTCTTCTTTCTCGATCAATACATATACATTTCATCCACCACTATCGTCAAGCAGCACAAAGAAGCTTATATCGTCGAGCTTGTCTTTAGAAAAAAAAAATGTTTGATTTTCTATTGAAGCCGTTCTCGCCTCTCACAGCCTTCTATAATAGCTTGGTCGTGGTCAATTGCGCCTTTCAACAATTTGAAATCAAACAACTCTCTTATGACCCCATCCAAGCTGACCAAATTGTAGCCAATTACAACTATGATCCCTTTGCTGGCCAAGATGTTGGTGTGCTTGTTATGAATGATATTGAAGAGGACTTCACCGCTGTTGATAAACTGATGGAGGATGTCGATGATGATTATTGCTTGACTCATTGTCTTGTTGAAAATGAAGCTGTAGATGCAAATGTCGATACTACTGCTGTTACTCCTGCACATTTAGTGGGCTGCCTCCGTATCTTTGTCGCAAATGTAGTTGAGAATATTACTTGCTCCTTCATCTTTGGTGCGCTCCTCTCATGTGATTACGTCTTGTCCGAGAAAAGGTCCATTGAGGATTTCGTTCATGTAAAATCAGAAGAGCTCAAGAATAACCGCATTTTACGCTGCCGTCCAACATGCAGCCGTGCTTCTTCCTCTTCTTCGCCACCCAAGATGAGAGGATTCGGTGTTGATTTTGGCGTGCCTGGTATCAAATATGTGGAATTTGCAACTGTGCCTGATGTTGATTCAGTTGTGCCTGGTGCTGACTTTGCTGCTGTTGTCCCTGTATATTCTCGCTGGAAAGCTCAAATCAAAAATGAAGTCGCTCGTCGTAGGGAGTCGTATATTCGCTTTAACCGGGAGCATGAGGATATTGACGGCTGGGGATTCATTAGAAATGACTTTTCTATCCAAGCTGCAAACTAAACCCATCTGATTGTTTACAGTGGCACCACTCTCTCCCTTTTACTACCAACCGCTTCATTATATCAAACCAAACAAACAAAAAAAGAAAAAAAAGCATTATATCTTATCACTCTCTGTACATTTCAAAACCCTCAAAATTATATAAATATCATCGATTAAATAAAAATGGCTGTATTAAAAATATCTAAATAAACTCACCTTAAGGTACCACCTACAGCCTAATGTCAGTGCTTATTGATTGGTTTGCATAGAGATCAAGCCTCTTCCCTCTTATCGGAAATGGGGGGGGGGAATGATTAACATGCAAGGCAGAACATCCACTTTGTCAAGATCACAAAGGTGTAACCCTCTTTCATATCAGTCAGCAAATAAAGCAGCTTCTCCGATCAAATATCTGCAAACGTTTATAGAGCACAGCTGGTAGTGTGAGAATGATGGCCCTTTCTCATCTCTATCAACATGACGCTAAGATCCGTAGCTAGAATACTCAAGAGAAATGTAATTACAACATGTACACAGGCTGATTCGAATCTAATTGATTGATGTTTATAGTTTGCGACACAGCAACAGCAACATCTTGAGGTATCGTCTCAATAACATCATGATCATGCGTCCCTTGATTTTTCTTACATGTATGTAATAGCCCCCTGTGCTCATCAAAAACCATTTGGCAAGTCGCCAACTCATTTTAAACAGACCAAAAAGACTGAATGCGTTGGATATGGAAATGGTGGACATTATGTATCCTAATTTGAAGGTATACACTGCTTTTGATAAACCATCAATAGCGAAATTAAAAGTTTATCCTGCAGGCGTGGGAAGAATCAAATCAGGTCAATGTTATCTTGCTCAAGGGTGTTGGCAGAGCGCTGTGTGCAGGAGGAGATGTGAAAGGTACATTTGTCATATATAAAGTTGACTTGCAAACTAAAATGTATCACTAGATGTCATCAACCAGTTGAAGGATCCTCAGAGAATCCCTAATTTAGAACATCAGATTGATACAGAATATGAGATGATCCATTTCCTAGGTACCATGAAGACGCCGTACATTGCTGTCATGGATGGAATTACAAGTGAGTGCTGCAATGTCCCCCTCCCCTCCTTCAATCTGAAAGGTTGCTAATGATGAATTCAATAGTGGGTGCTGGCGGGGGCCTTAGTGTGCTCAGTCCATTCCGAGTGGCTACTGAAAATACTCAATTTGCCATGCCAGAGACGGCCATTGGCCTTTTCTGTGATGTGGGAGCTAGTTTCTTCTACTCTCGTCTAGATGGCCAATTGGGCCCTTATATGGGCTTGACAAGTCGAATCGTAAAAGCTGAAGATGCGCTATTCTCTGGTATTGCTACTCATTTTGTCCCTTCCTCTCGCTTGGAAGCATTGGAATCTCGTTTGGCAGAAATAGATGAGCCTACTCATGATTTAGTTCATACCACTATCGAAGAATTTGCAGTAGAGAGAGACCACTCTCCCCGTACCTACACGCTGCATGGTGAGCATAGAATGATTGTGGATGATTGCTTCCAATACGACACTGTAGAGGAAATTGTCAAGGCATTAAAAGACAATGGATCCAAATTTGCATTGGACACACTAGACACAATGATGAAGCGGTCTCCTACTAGCTTGAAAGTGACACTGGAGCATCTTCGAAAAGGTTCCAAACTGTCTGTCATGGACTGTTTGAGAATGGAGCATGTGTTGTGGCAAACTGTTCCTGTAAGCAAGTCGATTGCGTGACATTTGAGCTTGTGTATTAACATGGCTATATATATATATATATATATAGTTTGCTCGTGATTTTGTAGAAGGTGTCACTTCGCATGTCATTCACAAGAGAGCCCCTCAATGGAATCCTGCAAAATTAGAAGATCTAGATTTGCATAACGATATTAGAGTCAAATTCTTCCATGCCAATGTAAAGAGACGTCTCAATTTCCGCAACAAAGAAGATTATCATCTCCATCCTTACCGTAGATATGCTTTGCCTTCTGAAAGAGAAATTTTGGATACAAAGGCGTTGCATAACCTAAAGTATACCGAGGAAACAATCAAATGGTTCGACAATGACAGAAACGGCAAGTTTGGCGTTCGGCAAAAGGTCCAGGATGTATTATATCGGGCATCTGCTGCACTTTAGAAGCACAGATATTAGACGCATAATATTAAAAGACAAATGAATCAGTAAATTTGCTCAATAAATCATACTGAACATGCTCTTAAAGTTATCCTAACATAATAAATTGATGGTCCCTAGACACTGTCAAAGTCTCAAAAAGAAAAGTTGGTCTTACAAATATTTTGGTGGACTGGCGCTATTAAACATACATCTTTAAAGGAAAATAGCATGGCTAATGATAGTACTATGTAATTTGCCGCCTACTTTCCATAGGTTTCAAAAGTATCTATTACTGTAATGAAAAGCGCATTGAGTTGGCCAGCCAGCACCACAGCCAAAATTGATTCAAACTCAGTTTTTTTTTTTTTTTGCTCATTATTGGACAAATTGTGTCTTCTTTCGACTCCTTTACTTTATTTTAAGATATTCGACTATGTAAATTGTGATAATCATCCTACGCTTACTAATACATTCTTGAAGTACTTTTCAAGGCGCTTCCAATGTTGTAATTGCAATAAGTGTTTTAACTGAAATTATTGAGCAATTTAATGAAATTTGAGATGAGGTTTTTAGCGAAAATAGCCATATTTTGCATACACAAACCTCTTAAAAGTGGTTTCAGAAGTTGCTTTGGATCGAGAGAAGCAATTTGATGTAATATATACTATAGTAAAAGCCTTCATTTTTGCGGCCAAAAATGCGACCGTTTGATTTTCGATGAAAACCATGAAGGGTACCTCATGCTTTTTGGTCAAATTTTGGTCATGTTTTTTTTTGGTCCCCAAAAAGTTGAGCAAAGGTACCAGAAAGTAACTGCCAGATGAGAGCAATTGTTTGGTGCTATTTTGGCGGTCTAAAGCGGCTCAAAACATGAGAAAAAGCGGCTCAAATGCACACCCAAATTTCGCTGTGCTTTGTATACCTTTGCGTAGTAAGAGGTAATGCAGTGTGCTGCCTACCCGTATATGAACTGTTTGCATTGATACAGGCTTGGAGCATCGTAGAAGAGTCAAATTCGCAGTTACAAAATTGTCCATGAGGCTCTCTCGCTTGATGATGGAATACTGAGAGGTAAGCATTAGAGCTAGCCAGAAGTGCAAAAGCTATACTATCAGAATCAATGGATTATTCATGGCGTCAAGGTGATGACAGAAACATTTGAGCTAATTTAGGATATACCAACTTATCATTGTTCAGGTTAATACCATCCATGCGCTCATTTGCACAGTCATCAAATAACATACGTGCTTATTCATCAGTTCACGGTATCCTTTTTGAGATGATACATTTTCAGCGTCAGAAGAATGCTTTTCAAATTCTATAAATAATAATTAAAAGAGGTGTAAAGAGCTATAACAGGGTACAGGTTATACCTGTATATGCATTACTGAAATCTCGCGATTGAATCCTTTAGATATAAAGTCGATTAAAGGCAGTATTTGCAATGTATACACCAAACAAACTCCTTGTTTGTTGTTGTTGATTTGCCAATACATATTTAGAAACTCCCTTGTTCAGGCACGCCACGCAACAAAGCAAAACGCGGAGCTTATGCAATGACGACATGGCATCAGGTCAAGATCCACGTTGTTTTAGTGTATCTCATCAATGTGAAATGCTTTCACTGATGATATTCAGGCGCTGGTATGTCGATCGAGGACCTACATGTCGATATGTAGACCGATCTCATCCGGGGCTCTTCAATTGATGGAACAAAGCAAACGGAGATGATTTGCATATCGCGGATGACATTGTTGAACAAGTGTCACCCTCGCTGTTATATGTGTATAGCTTTGTGTTACCATAGGTGAACAGGAATGGAATCTATACGTAATACTATTGTATTCTAAACGGTTTTTTTTACATCATAAGCATATGCCCAAGAAATGCAATACTAGTACATATGTATTGGAAAGGGGCCATTGGTTCCTTGATAGAATATTCTGAGGGTGCATTTGCTTGTATCTCTAGAAATAATATACGTTCTTCTGGCCTCGGGCGATCTTTCATTTCTAGTAAAGCTCCATTTCCTATCTCCCATTGTTTGCTCGGACATAAATACCAAGTCAAACGTTGTACGCGGTCATTCTTACCAAGATTGGTCTTACCAAGCCCATGATACCGTTCGGGATTCCAAGGCAAATGTACCATCTAGCAAAGAGCATCACGTATGATGGTGGCATTTGGATCCGGATCAGATATGATCTTGTCTACACGTGAGGTGACGTCTAGCACATTTCCCTAAACATGTCCAATGAATGTCTGCAACATTTGGCTTTTTGTATGATAAAATCTCGTAGTAGTAGATCAGCATACGGCTCAATTGAGTTACTGAGGCAGCTCCAAAGGCCTTTTTCATCCACAAACAGCCTTTTTTTTGTTTGTATGGACAAACAAGACATTACGCAAGTGGAAACAAAAGAGAGAAAAATGTAAAATGATTCGGAAAAAGTTTAAAGATCATGGATTATTGATTGGGCATGTACCATAAATTGAAAGAACGTCCCTAAACACAAGGTAGTTTTCGACGCTTAGGGAATCTGATGGTTCTAATTCACCATGTTTCTCACCAAACCGAGCCTTATTTTCCCTCTCTTTTTTTTTTCCACTTTTTTAAAATTTTGCCAATTTTTTTTTTTTTTTTTTTTTTTTTTTCAGTTAAACTCTCCTTCGCATGTTTTAAATTTTCTTTTCCTCTCCTTTTTTACACTCTTTTTTTTTCTCTCTTTTTCCATATTAAACCTTACTAGTATACACCTACACGCGCGAATAGACAGAAGAGCGACATTGAATAACAACAACAACAACAACAACAACAACAGCAACTCCCACTTTCCACAAAATTTTCATTTTTCTATCAATTAATATATGGCTGCACTGTCATTTAGCTACGCACCTCCTATATCGGGTCAGTACACCCAGTATATAACAGACGATGAAGAGTCCTCAATTGTATCCAACCTGCAAGAGCAATGTCAGAAAATAATGACAGCAAGAAACTGTCAAATCTCTGTGATGACCACTAAAAATACTACATTTAATAACACTACACCTACTACTACATCTACTAATACTAATACAACTAATACCGATGTGAATCTTTCGTTGACCGGCTCTGCTCAATCATTAATGGAGGCCCGTGGTGATCTGCTATCAAAGTGTCCATTGGAGGTTAGCATACAGCCATCATGATGTAGTAACAGTTATAATTAAACTTTAATTTTTTTCATTAGATCAAATTGACACTTCAATTCCCTCCAACAACAAATTTGCCTCAATTGACTGAACATTTCAACAAGCTAGAGCATGAATTGACGACAAAAATCAGTATTACTCCAGAGAAATCAGATGTATCATCACTTGTATCAGACAATCCTGTCTACATTGACATTATTGGCACTCCAACTCAAGTTGAACTGTGCCGCGTACGTGTGCTAGTGGTTCTAGATAAAATTTTGGTAAGTTGGAAAAAAAAAAAAAAAAAAAAAAACATTTGAGACATTTCACCCCGAGAAAAAAAAAAAAAAAAAAAAATCCCGGTTATTGTTAAATCAAGAAAGACTCACGCATTTTTACGTAATTGCATGCACTTTAGAAATCATTCAAGACTGAAGTTGTTCGACTACCATTGAAATTGCAATATCTTATCTGTGGCAGAAAGCGAGCTGGCTTATTACCAATCATTGAGGAAACCTCTACCAACATCTATTTCCCATCCCCATTTACCAATGCTGTCAATACAACCACATCAAAGCTTGTCGAGACTGATCAAGATGAGGCTCAGCCTGCAATTTACATCACAGGTGAACCCAACCATGTGTCGCGTGTAAAAGACATGTTGAATAAGCTCGCTGTTCAAAAAGTAAGCACCTACATTCACCAAATTTAAACTTTTATCCTAAAGAAATTTGACAGGCAAAATCAATGTATCACAAGGACACAGCACTTTATGCAAGAAAAATAGACTGGCTCTTATTACACCGTCGAGACGAATTACGAAAAATCATGCACGACAATGGTAATACAGTTTGTGGACTGAATGTCAATGTAAAACTCTGTATTTATACGCTCCTTCTTTTCAGGTGCCTACATTGAATTTCCTCCTATTGGCTCTGGCGATAATCGAGTAACTGTCTATGCCGAGAACAGAGTCAATGCTGAACGAACATTGAGAGCACTCAACTTTCAAGCATGCACCATTTACGAAGCCTGTTTCTATTTCAACAACCGGGATGGCGCCATCTACGATCCCGCAGGTGCCCACACATTTTTTGATTCTACTTCCAATCTCTCAAGCTTGGTGTCTCAGCTCTCTCAAGTTTCCGGCTCTGAAGTCATTTACAAGACCGATCCCGGATGTATTGAAGTGTTGGGCGCTGAACGTGCTATTCGCAATGTCTATCAACGATTACAGGAGATGCAATTCCTTCAGGTCTTTCATCAGTATACGATTTTTCGAGTGGAATCATCCAACGAGCAGCGAGATTTCATTTCTGGAAAGAAAAATGGCAAGATCAACAAGATCATGAAGACGTCGGGAGCAAAGATTCGATTCATGCCGTTTATCAACGAGTACAATTTCATCATTGAAGTGGAGAGCACCAGTTTTACCAAGGCATTGGATGGTCTCACTTTGCTGCAAGAAGAACTTCCCGCTGAAATCTCGTTTTATGTACCCGAATCTTACCACAAGCGCATCATTGGCGTTGGCGGAAAAAACATTCAGCGCATCATGAAGAAGTACGGTGTTTATGTCAAGTTTTCGAATACGGAAGAGTTTGCTTCTCTGGGCGGCTATTACAACAACCAGGACAATGTCGTCGCTCGTACCCCCATGAAGAATCAGATCAACCTCGACAATTTACGCCATGCCGTCATGGAACTGATTCATCCAAAAGACAGAGACTACATTACGGAAACCATTCAAATCCCATTCAGCCTTCACAGAGACTTGATTCACGAATATCAGAATACGTTCATTGCGGAAGAATTGATCAAAAAGACAAACACACACGTTCTGTGGCCTGATGCCGAGTTGGCTAGTAATACGGTTGAGCTGCTAGGTCCTGAAGCTCACATGCCACTGGCCTTTAAGATGATGGAGAGCATTGTTCCTGAAGCATACGTTCTGCGTATTCCTGATGGTGCTGCTGCCTTCAATGATGCTATCTCGTCTGGTCTGTTCCAAGAGCAAGTGGTCTCTCGTCTTCATCAAGATTTTGATGTGATTGTTGAAACTGGTGACAATTTCATTCGCTTGAACATGAGCAGAGACAAAGTCTTGGACGTACTGCATGGTGCTTTGACCATTGTTATCGATTATCTCAAGAGCCAGCAAGTGACTTTGAACGAGGATGTCATCAATGCGAACGCTTTGTATGCCATTGTTGAGAAGAAGTTGGCTTTATCAGCTCGAAAGACCATCATGTCCAGCAGCAGCACAAGCAGCAGTTTACTGGATGCGTCAAGTTTATTGAAGCAACATCAGCTTAATACTCAGTCCATCATTGGCAACCCACCTTCTATCTCAATGATGCGATCCTCAAATGACGCTGTATACACTGCGCCCATGGGCTCCAGCAGCAACACGCACAGCAACAATGCCACGCCTCCTCCTCCTCAAACGTACAACTTTTTCAACTTTCAACAGCACGAAAGCATGCCTATGGATAGCAGTAGCAACTGGGCTTCTCTCAGTTCGTCCCACATGTCACAGCAGCAACAACCCATACCGTCCGTTACAACAGCTTCAACCTCTGTACATTCCAATGGAAGCGGTAGTGATAGCAATATTCGAGCTATATTTGATGCACCGATGGATCTGACTGAACAAGAACGAGTGGTGCTATCCAACTATCGTTACCAGCGCATGAGCATGCCTCCAGGCACTAATTTTGGGTTCCCTCAAGCCGTTCCGACTACACCTACCAACACAGACATTTGGTCAACGCCCTCGCAGATTCCTACAGCAACCTCAAGCCGTAGACCAACTTCTGGTTTCTCAACGTCTGGTATGACTAGTCCGCCACAATCCAGACATTCTGTGGGTAGTAATTACGGAAGCAACGCTGGAAACGATTTGAGTTTAAGGGTAGGAGTGAATGTTTGAAAAGCTGATTTGCATGATTTACTGACTATGCCTATATCCAGCGATACAATGAAGGCGCCAACAATGCTTTCTATCCTGCACCTATGGTTCATGGACATATATCGGCTGCTCCCTCTTCTGCTAATGCTGGTGTTGGCGGTGCTGGGTCATCCACTGTGGCCGGTGAATTCAATCCTTACAATGACGCTACATCTACATCAGGTTCATTGAAATCGAGCCAATCGATGCCTGAGCCCATGCTGGAGAGTCATTTCAGTACAGGCAGATCAACATTTCACCAACAGCAGCAGGCTTCTCAACAGCAACAGCAACAGCAACAGCAGCAACAGCAACAGCAGCAGCAGCAGCAACAACAACAGCAGCAGCAGCAACAGCAGCAGCAAACTTCACCTAGTGCATTCCATGCATCGCATCAGCAAGGATTCAGCCAACTGAATCTCGGTAATTATAGACAATCAAACCCTGGCGGTGGATTTGTTTCTCGTAATACGCCACCCAGTCATGACCAATTCTTCAATAGCAATGAAGAAATCAATGGTATGATGTCTTGTGCTCATTGATCTACTTGGATATACTAACTCGTTTTCTAGTGGTCCAAGGCATGCTTGGCAACTTGTCAACCAACGATACTACAACATTCGATCCTCGTCGCCCACCTCCGTCGTCTTCTACTTCGAATAATGATTATGATAACAACAACAAAGGATCCCGACCTCCACCAGGTATTGATATCTAATTGATGTATATTTCTTTTTTTTTTCGCCTACAAACAACAACCCAAAAAAAAACAAAAAAATAGAAAAATGGACACTGTAGTAGATCATTACAAAAACAACAAAAACACCAAAAACACCAACAAAAAAACACCAGGCGATTTTTACATAAAAAACTAATTCTTTTTACATATATTTTATCCCCTCTTTTTAGAATTTAATACATCTCTAATATAGTAAATAATGTTTTCCTCCTCTTTGTATAGATCCTACATAATTTTTCCCTTTTTCTTTCTTTCTCTCTCTCTCTCTCTCTTTCTCTCTCTACTTAATTATATATTTTATTCTACAAATAAACATTCAAAATTTCCATGTCTTATCAGGCTGCTACGCCAAATGAATCTACCAGCATCGAGTTAATGATATTGACCCATTCTTGCGCATGATGGCGATCCTCAAATGTCCATGATTTTTCAGGCTGAAACAGCACATGTGTTAGCATCATGCTTTATTGCAACATGTCAAACCCCAACTTACTGTATGTATGCTGAATGTGGACTTTCCCTTCAATTCAGGCAAAAGATGAGATGTCCAGGGTATCTCACATCTCAGATTACCGTCTAATTTTGTTTCGTCTGTGCCTTGATCGAGGTATAGCAGTCGAGGTCGATTTGTCAGTATCAAATTCCTCTTTTTGGATGTGAATCTTCCTTTTCTGTTCACTCGACCTGATTTTATCACGGATTCGTTGGGATACAAATGCGGGATCCTTTTTGCAAGAGTATAAGCAACAAATTTATTATATAGAAAGTATAAGCATTTACCATGGAAGATGGGCTTGTGTTCCTCCTCCTCCTCCTCCTCCTCCTCCTCCTCCTCCTCCTGCTGCACCTGCACCGCTGGTTCCTTCAGGTGAAATGCTGTTATTGCCAGATGATAATTCACTGCTCAGGTGGCTCGATCTGTTGGAGCTCATGGAGGGTTTCTGTATATGCTGCTGTGCTTGCGGTTTTAATCGACTGGCAGATGACGACTGCCGACTATGTCTGGCTGGTTTGCCTGTAGATACAGTATCACTGACCTGTGCTGTTGGGGTGGATGCTGTCAATGCATAATGTGATGATTTGGTTTGGTCGTGAAATGGATCTGGTATAGGTAATGCTGACGTTTGCACGGCGGGTTCTACTGTTGTTGACTGTGCAAAAGCCCCAGCTAAAGCTCCTGCCAATGTTGATCCTAATGCTGCTGATGTCCTTGCTGCTGCTACTCTATCTCTGTCACTTTTGCTGTTTTGATTGGCCCATAAATCTTCGTCCTCATCATCCTCATCATCGTGTCCTCCAAAATCAAACGTAGGTGGTACCACAGGATGCGCTTTCACCTCTCTCTCTAATCTTTCTCCCAGAGGTGGTGCCGTTGAACTGAATATGTTTTCCCAATCAATCCCCTCAAAGAATGGATGCTCTTTGATAGCAGCAATGCCGCCTGTAGCTGCTGATCCAAATCTCTTTTCTGGTTCAGACGTTAACAATCGTTGTACAATATCCTTTGCTGCTGGCGGAAACTCATCAGGTATTACATAGTCCAAACCCTTTATCTTTTGAAAGATAAGATAGTCGGTGGCTGCTTTGAAGGGTGATTTTCCAGACAACATTTGATAGATGACACAGCCAAATGCCCATAAATCAGCTCTGCATAATACATTCAGTTTCAAAAAATGATAATGATTGTTACAGAAAACTTACTCTTTGGATACAGCATCGCTACGAAGTAATTCAGGCGAAACATACTCTGCTGTGCCTACAAATGATCTGGCTGCTGTTGATGTGTCTTCCCCATCTCCCGTTGTTGCGTTTTCGTTTTCGTGGATGATCTTTGCCGACCCAAAATCAGTAACTTTGATGTGCAAGTGATCGTCCAGCAGTATACTTTTGTGACAACGGGTGAATGATGAGATTCGATAGACATTCATTGGGAATACTTACTTTTCTGGCTTAATATCTCTATTCATCAGCATAGTTAGTAACATGATCCATTGACGCCACTAAATAGCTATTCACCTGTGAATAACGCCTCTGCTATGGATATGCTCAATGGATAACAGAATCTCTGCGGCATAAAATTTCGTGGTTTCTAAATCAAACGGTGCCAGCTGTAAACCCAAATTAGAAAACGTAGTACAAACATATTAGTTTCTGTCCATAATTTACCCTTCTAATATAAGTGTACAGTTCGCCATTCTTGGCTAGATCCAGCACAAAGTCTATCATAAAAAGGGTTGAGCAGCGTTCCTTCGCTCATAACAAGTTCCAGCTTACATAGACTTCTGTTGTCTTTATATGTCCAATAGAGCTTGACAATGCCAGGATGGTTCATTCTACTAAGAGCATCACGCTCAATCATGACATACTTGACCTTGTTGTTCTTGACAATGTGTGCTTTGTCCAATCTTTTGATGGCATATTGCTTTCCAGTTCGTTTATCTCTTCCTATCAGAACCTATTCTGTGGCTCAGTATCCAAGGAGAAGCTTCTTTTCACACCTCCTTAACGCTGCTGTAGACTTACTGTAGAATAGGAGCCCTCGCCAAGTATTTCTCCATAGTCAAAGTCAGTGACTATACGACGATGATGGTACAATGGATGAGATGGATCGTCCACATCTGTGCTGAGCGTGGGTTCACGTCCTTTCTTGATGCTGCTTGTTAGAGAATAATTTGATGTTGATTGCGTGGGCGAAGGAGGGCCATGTGCCATTATGCAAAAAAAAGAAAGGAAAGGAAAAAGAGACTGAAAAGTAAAAAGTGCAGAAACGTGCAATTTAAAATGGTCAATATCCGGTCATAAATCATTACTGCTTTCTCAATGATGTGTATTTGACAAGAGTGTTTTATTAATCTACTTGGCTATTCAAGGCTTGCTCGCTTTCTTTTCTCTCCAGTTCTTCAGCCAGACGGTCAATCTTGCTGAATTGCCACTTCCAAGAAGCATTGTACAAGAAGGGTCTTAAATCAAAGCGGTTATCATCTGTGCTGTAAGCTTCGGCGTGGTACGCAGGTGTTAATGTAGTCAGCTTATGACGGTTGATAGAGTAGTAAAAAAAGAAGCGCTTCACCTTGACAGCTACTTCGGAAGGAGGCAAATCATCGCCCCATTCATGCACCAGCTTGGAGAACATGGAGTAGGGTCCACAACGATCAATCTTACGAAGACGGCCATAGCGAGACAGATCATCATACGACATGCCCATGTCAGCTTCGTCGGATTGTACATAGTTTTCAGTGATGGGCTCCAACTCTGCAGTAGGAACAGCATCCAAAAATTCACCCAGAATAGGCATATCGAACTTGTCTTGAGCATAGGCAATAAATCGCTTGAGATCATGCTTGGAGATAGCACCAATAGGGTTGACATCAGCACTACTGCAGTCGTATTTGGTGAGATATCCTCGCAAGCTTTCGTCGACATTGGCGCTGCCTAGAACGAGCAAACTTCCCTTGATTGTACGACACCAAGGCAGTAATTGAGCAAAGAGATAAGCTAGCAACATGCGCAGACGAGCTTGGATATTTTGAAGAGCCAGGTTTTCTGTGTCAGATCCACCATGCACCTTGTATTTGGGTGATTGACCAGTAACCAATGTGAATAAACTATGGATGGACTTGACCACAGTGTCCATGTTGATGTCTGTGTGATAGCTGCCAATTACCTCTGCTAGGTCCTTGGCACGCTTGCGAGTTTCGTTACTCGAGTTCTCTGTACCCATATAGCATGTATAAAAGATGCGGTGGGCAAACTCACGAGGATCAGTGGGCGTATAGCTGTCGTCTTCACCAGCTAAACGTCTAGCGTCTTCCAGGACATGTCTGTTGCCTTCAGCAGCCTCCTTTACCACCAAACGACACATGGATGCGACAATCGTAGCAGTGGCACAACTGTCGATACCGCCACTGAGGGGCAAAAAGTAACCTGCCGTCTTGGATCGACGCAAGTAATCCCATAACCAACAAGCAGGACCCAGTGCGATCTCTTCTTCTGGGCTGTGGTAAAATGGAGGCTGGGATTTGGTAGGACGCACATGGATATCATCTTCAATGTAGCTATGTGTCAATGCCATTCTGACTTCTTCACGCTGATAGGCAGATGTATTCACAGCTTGAATACCACGACTGGCCATACGAGCACGATACGAGCGAACATCCTCTAAATCAACTGTTGCGGTGACGACTTCGACATCCTTCAAGGAGAACTGAGAACCTTGAGCAATGACTTCACCATTCACCACTACCATGGCACAACCATCATAATACAAGCGATCACCATCACAGCCTTGTTGGTTGGCATAGAGATAGATACCGCCTACTTTGGCTGTAGCTGCTTTGATCAGATTGATGCGGGTGTCTAGTTTACGCAATTCGTGATGACTTCCGCTGCTGTTGGTGAAAATTTCTACGCCATCCAAGCCCATGGCGATATGGGGACTAGCGGGTGTGAAGAGCTCTTCGCATGTCTCGCAGCCGATGCATGTATCCAATGTACTGATAACACAATCACCAAAAGGCACCAATGTCTGTATGAACAAAAGTGAATACACTACTGTGCTCCATTGTTCTAACGACATACCTGGTTTGTCAATTTTGAGATCATACGAGGCAGATAGTAGTGTTCCACTTTCTTTGGTATCCAAGGTGTAAAGAAACGCATTTCGCGGTAGTTGCCATCGTTGGCCAAGAAAATCTTGGGACGAATAAGCACGATTTTACCGTCTGCAATGATGACTCTGCAGTTGTATTTGACAGATTTATGCATCACTGGCCTGAACGAGATGATCAATATACATGGCTCATCGCAACTGACACAGACGACTTACATGCCAATATCCAAAATCATGTCCTTTGCCTCGTCGCTCTTGATAATCTCGGCCAACACTTCCCAAGAATGTAGATAGGTGTCGCCTACATGACGTCAATCAGTATTCATGCTAGTTTCCATCTATGCAAAGCTCTACCTTCCAAGAAGTGGTCCTGACAGCCATAGCCACTGTTGTAAGGGGTGAGTGCTTGAGAATCACCACGGGTATTATGGGAAACACTTACGTAACCTCGAGCTCAGGACCTACACGTAGTTTGGCTCCCTTCTCTTTAGCGATACGAATACTCTCCAGGATTCGTTCGAGATTTCCTTCAAAATCCAGCGCCCATTGGTTCAATGAACATGTTGCTAATGTGATACTAAGTTGAAATGAAAATTTAGTCAATCTATTCGCTGGTCAGCGAGCGCCTATTTACAGATGACCCATAATTAAATGCTAAATGTTAAAAAACAAGAGCAAAAGAGCAACTCGAAAAAGAATGGTATTTATACATGTAGATTTTATTGTGGGTCCGGTGAATGACATGAATTATCAACCATCTGAGGTGACTGTACATGATATGTTACAATGTGAAATCATTCGTTGGTGATTACGACCTTGATAGTGCCTTCGCGGCCTTCTTTAACATGCTCAAAGGCCCTGATGGACTCTTTAAACTTATATCTATGGGTAATCAAGCTTTTGAGATCAACTTTTCCAGAAGCCAGCATCTCCATAGCTGTGGGATATGTCTAATCAAGACGGCATTAGATCCAAGATGTGTGTGCACTAACAAGATGAAACTTACATTGCAGTATCTCATCACACCTCTGACATCTACTTCTCTGGCAGAGACATCAGCTACAGAGATGGATTGAACTGAAGCGCCCATGCCAACGAGGATGATTTTGCCATTATTCTTGACAAGCTAACGAAAAATGCTTTGAATTTAGCTTGACTTACATCTTGGTTGAGCGCAAAATGACTTACGTAGACAGACATTTGAACACACACTTCAACACCAGTGCAATCAAACACCACATTAGCAGGTGCAATGCCTGATTGAAAGAGCTTGCCAGCTTCTGCTTTAGCAAACTCGTTTGTATCTACATTCTTGGGAGGTTTGCTTGTCATGTGTATAGTTTCATCCGCAATGTAAGATTTAGCAAACTTCAATCTCGATTCTGAAATGTCAGCCATCGTGATATGAGATGCACCAGCAGCCTTTGCAGCAGCAGCAGTTAAGAGACCCACAGGACCAGCACCAAATACAATCACTCTATCGCCCAGCTTGACTTCGCCTCGTCTAGCAGCATGAATACCAACAGACAAGGGCTCGATCAATGCGCCCTCTTCGAGAGAAACATTCTCGGGAAGCCTATCCACGGCCCATTAGGATACCCTTCCCCTTCCAAAAATCATAGCCATCACTTACTTGTAGCAAAAGTCCGCAGAATGCCTGTAGTAGTCGCAAAGGGTGCCATCGTAAGGAGGTGTGGCGGCAAAGGCCATATCAGGACACAGGTTGTATTTGCCAATCTTGCACATCTCGCAACGACCGCAAGGCACACCAGGCTCAAGAGCAACACGATCGCCTACCTTGAGATCAGTGACACCTTCACCAAGAGAAGCGACAATACCAGCAGATTCGTGGCCCAACACCATGGGACCATTGCATACGAAATGGCCAATGCGACCATGGGTCCAGTAATGAACATCTGAGCCGCAGATACCAGTAGCCTTGATATTGACAACGACTTGACCTGGACCAGCAATAGGCACGGGTCTGTCCTCCTGTTCAGTTATTAACAACTTGGAAGTGCCCTTTCCTGTTCCATTGTTCAACTTACAAATGAGATGTCATCTATCTTTTGGAGTACGAATGAGTTGTTCTTTTTAGGGTCTGAAACTGTAGACATTTTAATGTGTGTGAAGAAAAGAGTCAGGCTCATCTTCTCTTTTCCTCCACAACCCCTCTCTTTTATACACGCTGTTGATGGCCGGGAAATATTTTAATGGCATAGTACTAATTACTCCATTTGGGTCCCACATTTCGAAACGCCAGCATTCACTCTTCTCACGTATAGAAAGGTGTTACAAATGGGCTGTTGCTTTAAATCAGGATTTTTGCAGCCAAATCATGAGAGCCCACTCGCTGGGCTTTAGGCGTCGTATTCCCGGTGGGCGTTTACTGTATGGCCATGCCATCAACGTTCTCTATTGCCCTTGTATCGGGCAATTTGTCTTAAAAAGGCAAAGACTTGGTGTTGCATCAAGAAGGAAACTCTAATTTGAAGGGCCAGCGGGACAGCATTGGGAGAGTCTTAGCCTGGTAGCACTGGGGCTAAATTGTGAGCACCACACTACCAACACCAAGCTTTCATAGGGTGGCTTGTTCCAATGTGCTAGGTCATCAATTTTCATGTTAAAGGGGGTTATGACAAAGGGGGATTTTTTTTTTTTTTTTCTCTCTCTATCCATTCAGATTGAACAGCCAACACAACGCAAAATCAGAAAAGATGGCAGATTACTCATCACCTCAACAGCAATCTCAACAAAATGCGGACGACTATATTCCTCCACCACCTCCTCCTCTCAACAGCATCCCTCCCCCTTCTTCAGCCTCAGTAGGAAGAGCTCGTTCTCCAAGTGGACGTGATAGATCATTATCGCCATCTCACCGTTCTTCCAGCAACAGCAGATACTATGATGAAAGACGCTCTTACCGCGATGATGACCGCTATGCTAGTGGCGGAAGAGACAGATACGAATCCTATCCTCGTCGTGATTACTACGATAGCAGAGACCGTTATGACCGAGGTGACAGATACGATCGTTATGATAGATATGACCAAAGAGACCGTTACGACCACAGAGATCGCTATGACCGTTATGATGACAGAAGAGGTGGTGGACGTTATCCCCCTAAATCAAGACCAAGAAGACCTGTTGACAGAGGAAGCGAGCAAGAGAGAAAGACCACGACTACCATCTACGCAGGAAACCTTCCTTATGATTTCATTGAACGCGATGTAAGCATTACTATGCACTGTCCAGCACACACACGCACATGGATTCAGATGGTTGACGCATTGATATAGGTTGCCACCATGTTTGAACGTTACGGTCGTTTGAAGACCATCACCGTACCTATGGATGCTGTCACCAACAAAAATAAGGGTTTTGCCTTTGTTGAATTCGAGGATCGTCGTGATGCTGAAGATGCTTTTGAAAAGTTTGATGGATTCAGCGTCGAAGGCCGTCGCTTGAGACTTGATTGGTAAACATACACTCAACTGGAGACAGAGAGAAAGAGAGTAGATCACTCAACTTGCACACTATGATAGGGATATTGGACTTTCCAAGAAGGACGAACATCGTCCTCCTAGACGTGCACCAGGTGGACCTCCAGCTCCTCCTATTGACGATCATCGTGAGCGCTCCATGCCTGATTCTTGTAAGTGATCCACAGTGGCCCAATTTCTCAAGGCAATTTATTTTAACGCGTGCTTCATTTCCCCTAATAGACTCTGCTCCTCCTCCACCTCCTCCCCCAATGGACTCTCGTGCATACAGACGCGAATCACCTGAACCTTACCGCCGATAATCAGTCTGGCAGCACAGCAAAAAAAAAAAAAAGAAACTTGCCTTTTTTTTAAAAAATTTTACTACAAAAACGCGAATCGTATTTTCGCGCGTCGACACCATGTTGATTGATGAATATTGGATTTTTTACATAAAAAAAACTTATAATTACAATGCGGATTTGATAAAAAGAGTGTATCCTGAACTAGAGCAGACTCAAAAATTGCGAGGAAATGCATAGAGTGGATCACCATCACTGTTGAACATTTGTTGAGTGGAGATGAGAAAGAGAGAGAGAGCAAAAGTGGGATTGGATAGTTGATTAGATGTTGGATGTTGGGTAAGTACATTTGATTTTTTTCTGTTATTTCTAGATAGTCTACACTTTACATATATTTTTGATTACATAAATGCACTGCAAACATCTTGTCCTTGATCCAATGTGTTTTTATGCTTTGAAAAAAGCTGTGCTGCTGGAAGTATGAATCTCATGATACATAAAACTGTGAACCTCATTATCAATTCTCGGAATTATTTATTGTTGTGGGATATTTACAAGCATACGGGGAGCTAATCTCGTCACCATCACAATACCATCATCAGTGCTGCTTACAATGGCCTCCACAGGCTCAGAAATGTTGTTTTCATAATCGATAATCCAGTCAAACCGTAGTCGCACAACCATGTTCTGTTCTCGAGCCAAGTCAATCTGCGAATCCAGATAATGGGCATCTTTCTCATTTACGTAATCAAAGAACGATGTGCCTATAGCCTTTTGAACATCCAGAGACACTAGCTCGGTAGCCATGTTGGAGGCAAACACAATATTCAAATCCTCTGCAAATCTGTTGAGAATCAAACAGAATTGACGCTCTTGAGACAGGATAAGTCGATTGTCTTGCCAAACCTTTTCCTTGGCCACTTTTGGCTTTGCCTTTGTCTTCTGATCATTCCATAATCCAGCAGCTTCTAGTCTTCCGTCCGGTTGACAGACAAAGACTTCATCTACGGTATTTGCACGTATTTTATGCTCCATCGAGTTCTCGTCGTATAAATAGTTGCAACCAATAATCACATCATGGCAATAATGAATGATAGTTTCCAATTTGATGTAACTGCTGTTTCTTGTGAGATAGCGATAGGACACCATGGATGACATCTTCTCGTTGTAGACGTTCATTAAGTGTACCTTGTGCAAATTATCACGGTCTTCAGGATGAAACTGCTCGAAACCTTCTTTACCAATAATGTCCTTAGGCTCCCAACCTGTCAAGGGAGTGATACTCTCTGATACATAGATGGTTCTTGCTTCTGCTGTGTTGTCCCAGATAGTAATCCAATTGTCACTCATCTTTGTTTTTGGTGCCTGGTCAGTTTTTTGTCTAGGTTTAGGGTTAGAAGAAAAAAGAACCAAGGTGCTATCCCCCAGAAATTAAAGGAACATAAATGAGGCTCCGGATGGTCAGTTTCGCCATCTTTAGTGTTGCTATTCTTATAGTTGACAGATCCAAAGCAGCGTATACAATACAGGGTGAATATGCATTACTGCTCGTTTTATATGGCCACTACTCGCTACATTCTTATCCACGAAAACACTGCGAATTCAAGTAACACGAATCTATCATTGTATTGTAAATCAGATTGAATGAGACGGTATTAATCACATTGATGATGAATGAGAAAATCATGTACATGTTCAAGTAATACAAAACTAGCGATTTGCATTATATGTATTTGTCCTCTATCAGGATCACTCAACTGATAGTGAATCGACAACATAGTGTTGTTCTATACAGCCAACAGCATCCATCTAGAATGTAACTTTGGTACGCTAATATGAACAGATATGTGCAATTTAGAATAGCAGCAGTCCAAATAGAAATAATACAACAAAGCAATTTGCACGTGCCTATCTGTGCATGGAAACCACAAGTAGATCAACATTTTGTGTATGCAACACAAGCTGAAAAGACCATGTTTCGCTTTATTTTATATAATACATGATGAAAAAGGGGAAAAGATGAAGGGTTACAAAGGAAAATTTTGGGATATACATGAAATTTATAAAATAGAGTCAACAGCCTGTGTTTTGATGCGATAAAATCTCTAGTATTCCTTCTTCTTTTCGTCATAACTCAAACCACCAGGTCCAGTACTAACCAACAATAAGAAACCACCAACTGTACTCAAAGATTGGAAGAAATCGTATCTCAAGAAATCACGCTTATAATAACTGTGTTGAACTGACCAGAAGTTGTTGACGAATATGTTGAGAACAGACAAGAAGAGAACCAAAAACATGGCAGACCATTTGGCCTTGAAGCCTACAGCAACCATCACACATGCAGTCAAACCAAGAAGAGATACAGCAATACGCATGATAGACCAATCGCCATGGAAAGCAGATCCGATAAAAAGGAAGATCAAGAGAATGCGACCAGCTAACTGCAAGTACATGCGACGATTCGTTTCAGAGATTTGAGGAAGAGCAGCAAACATTTGCTTGCGCTTCACCATTGTTTCGGACAGAACCATCATCAAACCACCCATCACTGATAAGTTACGTAAAAAGAAGGACATGTCGAAAATCAAACCATAACCAAATGCTTGGGCTACAATAACGCCCATAAGGCCGTAGATAGCGTATGTTTGATGCTTTTTGATAACAATACCAATAGAAGATGCCAACATGACCTAAATTCCTACGGATTAGCGTTTTTTCCCAACACGTAAAATTTTTTTCCCTGTATTCTGCCTGATGGTCCTTTTCTACTTACAATGACATTCAAACCAAGGAAAAGATGGCTCAAACCAGAGGGAAAGTGTCTGCTTTGCTCCATGAAGGTGAGTTGGTCTTGCCATTGCATGACGATTCGCATGGAATCTTCGATGAAAGTAGCCACAATCAAAAGTCTTGACATGGCTGGGATGTATGGCTTCAAGGGTTGACCTACTTTATCAAGGACATCCTCGACCTTTCTACTAAGTTCTTCCACTTGTTCTTTGACGCCAGACATAGTTTATTTCTTTACAACTATTTGTAAGAGAAGAGAGAGAAAGAAAAGGAATTGCGCAAAGCTGAAGCACTTTTTGTTTACAATGGAGACTCAAAAAGACGTACATCTCTACCTCCCTTCTTTAAATCGCCATCGCAATATCATCCAATGATATTGTACCACACAAGAACTGGATGTAGTTTCTTGTCTATCAAGCAGGATGTGCCGTTAAAAATATACGCTGTTTCATTTACTGTTGAATTATGTCATTAAACGCAGTGTCTAGTAACAAATTGTGAGAGAAAAAGCCTTATGATGACATAAAAGAGGCTTGATTTATTTAAGAACTTATGCATGAAAAGAATTACGATGATTTGGTCCTGTAACTTAAAGAATAGTCAATGTTTGACCAGCGGTCCAACTCTGACCACCACCCAAAGCAACCCAATCTGCTACACTACCAACTTCTACACAGATCATGTTCTTGTATTCTTCATCTCCAAAATCTCCCATGCCCTTGGCCTTTTCGATCCAGGGGTTCCAAACAACTAGATCGAATGCGACCAAATGTCAAATTCATGCAAAATACCAAAATAGGTGGATAACTTACCTGTATCCTTCAAATTTGACTTTTCGATTTGGATGGAAGAGCCGTTACCAACTTCAAGTCGAATCTTGTCTTGTACCTTTTTATAGATTCTATCAACCTCTCCACTGATGGTGACCTTGTCATTCTTTTCTGTGAACTTTGCGGCGTTTTGTACCTTGTCAATGTATTCGCAAGATGTCAAACCCTCAACGGCAGCCTTTGTAACATCCTAATTCACATGAATATTAGTTCTACACTTTCGCTTTTTTCGCTTAATTCACTTACAGGAACACTGAAATATGTATGAAGGAGCAAGTTGAATTCAAAGGTATCTTCGTCTTCGTTTTTCAAATTGATAAATGTCTTGATGGACTTGGCGGTCAAGCTAACAGTATAAGTCAAACGGAAGGAATGAGCCCAAGCACTTCTGGCTTCTTGAGGGATTTGAGTATCCTTCAATCCAAAACGAACTGACACCTCGTCATTATCGTTCACAATACCGAGGTATTCCCAATAATTGTTACGAGCAAAGCCTTTTTTCACAGATTATTTAGTCATTGGTGGTCAATTCTAGATAATGGCACATTTACCATGTTGGGGAAGAGCAATCTTTTCCTTGGTACCAAAGATAGGGAAACATAGTGGGATGCCACCGCGAATTGCCTTACTACCATCACGTTTGGCTTGCTTACTATAAATTGAGTCAGCAGAAATCCTTCAGCGGATACAGCCCTGTACACAATCGTCTTGCTATTAATATGCCTCCCATGCTATTACCTGACAAAGATGCGTTCTACGCCATCAACAACCCAGCTAGTAAGCGTGGCACCTTGTTGAAAGAATAGTGCTTCAGTTCAGATGCACACAACAACGCGTTTACAAAACCTACCAAAGAGAGCGACCTCTGCCTTTGAGCCAGAGGGATGTTCAAGCAGGACAACCTTGTTGTTTTCATGAGCAGGCATTTTATTAAAAATTGATGGGGATTTGGTGGAAGAGGAGAAGAAGAAATAAAAAAGAAAAGCGGTTGAATTTAAAGGAAAATCCTTGACAATGCGGGAAAACGGTTCATTTCCCGTATTGTGCCATTCATGAACAAGCTTAAAATCACACCTTTAGCTTACAAATTGAGGCGCCAATTACATTGTCAGTTTACATGTTGTGCTCGCTACTTTGAGATTTGAAGGCGAGTACTGCAACATCGCATGAATGCATGTGAATCAATTGCATATTGTTTGTGATTACTATCTTTGCAGTCACTGTCTTGAGGCCACACACACTTTATGCAGTGTCCTGAAGCTGCACCTAGCAAATGATATGTGAACACATGAAACTATACATTTTGTGCGGCTTACTTGGTAAGTTTTACGTGGCTCCACTAGACAAACTATGGCAACGCAATGCTCTAGTTGAAAATGACAGGCAATAGCAATCTACCGCGTAATACTAGAATACTTCAGTTAAATAATAGAGGAAAACAAAAATGAGATGTAGTAGTGCAATCATATATGCTTATCAAACTGTTGCCATCCTAATCACATTTTAAAGGCAAAAAAAAACATCTACGTACACTGCTCTGAATAAGTGTAATAAAAAGGGCTTCTCCGGGAATCGAACCCGGGACCTCTCGCACCCTAAGCGAGAATTATACCACTAAACCAAGAAACCTCAGATGATTTTGTCAGATGCGAATACGTAGAGATAGTATATGCAATCTGAGATCTGATCGAGATAGATATAGATATAGATGTAGGGATTATGCAGGAATGTATATAGCCTTTTAGTTGAATGGATAAAAAGGTGCTTTATTAATATTAGATTTGAACATTGATTTTATCCAATATAGTTTGTGTAATGTTGTGCGCTATCCAGGTTAATCGCTGTTTAATGTTCCTGGTAGCTGGCGCTCTAGGTTTAAACCTGCGCTTCTTATTCTTGTTTGTGTTTAGTCTGTCAATGATATCCTGCAGATCTAAATCACTGTCAGAATACCCTTCAACCCTGACATCACCCCCCTTCGAGACAAATGTTCGACCCTGAACATCACTTGAACTTGATGAACCAGTGGCAGTGTTTGGCATGTGAGAAGAGAGATCGACGCTTTTTGCAGGTTGGGTGGTCTCATTTTGCGTGTGAATCTTTGGAATGGCAGGAGTTTTGAAGACAAAAGTACTTTTTGGTGGCCCAGGACGAGAAGTAAGTACAATGGGGGTTTGGTTTGTATCAGTAGGAGGGAAAAAATTCACAATAGTAGTAGAATCAGGTTCTGGCGTAGCTTGACTAACAGAAGGCGGGCTAGCAGGAGGAACAACATGAGGTTCATTTCGAAGATCTGGCACCATATCTGTATTTTCTGGCTCTGACACACGTTCATCCAGTTCAAGATCTGTATCCACACTAACTGTTTCGTTGATTGCGGCGTCATCACTTGTATTTGACACTGTAGATTGTGATGACATATAAGACGATGTTGTAGAGAATGACGATGATGGAACCATGACAGGTGGTGGAGATGGTGCTGATGGTTGATCTGGAATTTCAATATCGCTATCAGCCAACGACGAAAAATCGTATCCATCCGTAATCTGATCCAATCCATGCTCGTTGTCCTCGATTTCATCCATCACACTGCTGCCATGTAGAGAACTATCCTCGTCTGATATCTGTTGCTGTGCGACTATATGATGATACTGAGTGTTGTTTGGTGATTCCGTTGTAGTGGTGGTAATGGCGGTAGTAGGTGGTGTAGTTGAACTGTGTGTTGGTGTGCTGTGAATTGGGACAGGCATATCGATAAAATCATCTTGAGGCTGATTCAGACCTAGATTTGAGGGAAAACCCGGTGTTGATGATGAGGCAGTAGTGGTAGTAGTGCCATTGGAATCAATGGAATTGGTGTTTGACTCAATACGAAGACGATCAGCTTCACGAACCGCACGACGACTAGAAGTAGGATCATACCATGGCTCTGTTGGTTTGTCACCTTTTGCTGCTTTCAATCTGTCCACATGCACCAATGATTGCAATGGTTCACCAGTAACAGTCTCTAGTTGATAAGTACCAAAGTCAGGGAACACCTTTGTTACTATGTAGGGTCCTTTATAGCGAGGTTCCAAACCAAATTTGCCTTCATGAGTTAGCATAACCATGTCACCAATTTCGAAATTTGTAGGCTTGATCTTGGCATCCCAACGTTTCTTGTCAGCTTCCCCCATGGCTTTCAAACGGAATTCTGCAGCAGCACGATGTTGACCAAGTAATTCTAGTTCACGCGAGGTCAGGTCAGCTACAGTGCGTTTATTCAACAGCATTTCTTTGGTAATATATGGCCTCAAAATATCACCAGGCAGTCTAGGTTCGCGTCCGTACACCAGATAATAGGGTGAAAAACCAGTGGTTGAGTGCACTCGAATTCGACTTGCCCACAAAGCCGCATGTACAAAATCATCCCAGCGATGAATAGCACCATTGACGTACTTACGAAGCATTTGCTTGATCACGCCATTGTATGGTTCAACTTTAGAGTTGGTGCGAGGGTGGAATGCCGAGGTCAGCTTGTGGTTTGTTCCAACACGCTTGGTATAAGCTGCTACAAGGCCACTAGTAAAGTTGGCACCTCGATCCGTCACAATTTCAGAGGGACAGCCAAATCGCATGACAATCTCCTCATAGATGAAATCCGCTACCGCTTCCGTAGATGCTACAGGTACTGATCTTGCGATAGGCCAGTTTGTGAGGTAATCCACAGCCGTCAACAACCATTTGTTTCCATTTCCAGTTGTAGGCAATTCACCCACAAAATCCAAATGCCAACGATCAAAAGCTTGAGGTATTTGTAGAGGGTGCATGACATCTTGATGAACATGATCACGACGACTATTCAGCTGACAAGCAGTACAAGTTTTCAACCAGTCTAGAATATCCTTTCGCAAACCTGGCCACCAGTACCTTTCCGTGAGCATTTTCAGCATAGTCTTGATACCAGCATGCCCAAAAGCTTCATGATACTTGAACACTAAATCAGCACGATCCGAAAATGGGATGAATTTGACTTGCTTCACTGATCCCTCCTCGGTCTTTATCAATCTATATACTGTCCTTTGACGTACTACAAACTGATCCTCTTCCTTTTCCATGCGCTTCCTCAACACATCTGATTTCATCTTCTCATAGTTCTTGTTGACATACAATATTGGCCAGTCCGATTTGATGGTGTCAGATAGCTGATCCCAAGCAGCATACAAGTATTCAGGTGCCAAAGAAGGAATATCCTCACCATTGTCCACAAGCAAATCTGGCTTTCTTGAGAGAGCATCGGCCACCTGGTTGTCCTTTCCGGCTTTGTATTCAATGTTCGGTGAGAATGCTTCATAGTCTGCAATCCAGCGAACAAGACGGGGTGTGGGGTTCAGTTGAGATTTGAAGTAGATCAGAGGCTTGTGATCACTATACACAGTATAACCACCTTGACAGCCATCAACAAAACAACGCCAAGTTCTCAAAGCATGAATAATAGCAATCAGTTCACGTTCTTGGGCAGGCAATTTCTGTTCAGCCGGAGACAATTTCTTTGATTCATACGCAATTGGCAACCAAGCAGAAGAATCAGAATCCTCTTGTAAGAGCACTGCGCCTACTCCAAAATCACTCGAGTCAGTTTCAATACGGTATGGCTTGCGCATGTCAGGTAGTTTCAATAAAGGAGATGATGTTAGCATTTGCTTGATGGCTTTGAAACTAACTTCACATTGATCATTCCAGACAATAGCGCGCTTCTTAGCACCATTACCATGGGTTAATTCAGTAAGAGGGGCAGCCACAGAAGAGAAATTCGGGCAGAAACGGCGATAATGCTGTGCTAATCCAACAAATTGACGCACCTCTTGAACATTGGTAGGTCGTGGCCAGTCTTGAATAGCTTTCACTTTTGACGAAGATGGCAAGATGCCGTTTGCCGAGACCTTGTAACCCAAGAATTCCAGTTCACGCTTACCAAACTCACACTTTTTCAGGTTGACAATGAGCCCTTCCTTTTCAAAGATGGATAATACTTGACGAACATGCTTGATATGGTCCTCTTTCGTTTTGCTAAAGATACAGCAGTCGTCCAAGTAAACCAGGGCGAACTTGTCAATGCAATCCTTTAAAACTCCGTTCATCCAAGTTTGGTAACTAGGTGGGGCATTTGAAAGCCCGAAAGGCAGCACAAGCCATTCCCATTTACCATATCGGGTATTAAATCCAGTAAGTGGGATATCAGAGTCTTTTAGCCTAATTTGGTGGTAGCCTGAACGAAGATCCAGGCAAGTGAACCAAGAAGCACCTTGCAAACGATCCAGACATTCGTCTATACGAGGTAGAGGAGTAGAATTACGGATAGTAACCTTGTTCAGCGCACGGTAGTCAATACACATTCTCATTTCACCATTTTTCTTCTTGACGAACAATACAGGAGCACCCCATGGTGACGACGATGGTCGAATGAGGCCCAGAGATTGCAATTCGGTCAGTTGACGCTGTAATTCATCAAGTTCAGCTGGACTCATACGAAAAGGAGGTCTATTGATGGGATTGACACCTTCAGGGACGTTGATCACATGCGAGAAATTTTGTCTGTTGGGTGGTAGGCCAGGTAATTTGTCTTGAAAAACCGTTGGAAAATCCTTCATCAGTTGATCTGTCCATACCACGTTCTCTTGAATAATTCCAGTGCTTGCGCCATCCTTCTCTCCTTTATCCATCATGTACAAGAAACATGCATTTGTGCCTTCCTCCTTCAACATTTTTTCTGCTTGAAGATGAGATACCAGATAGTTTAGTTCAGGCGGTTGTTGAGTTGGTGTGCTTGCCACACAGGAAGACGACGTAGGTGAGATAGTGGTTTTACCAGAACCACAACAAGACAAGGTCCATGTATCATCAAACCAATCTGCAACAGGTTTGTGTTCCTTGAGCCAGGATCTAC